AATGCACACTGTAAAAAAAAATAACACAGCTCCTTCAACAAATGGTGCTGGTCAAACTGGATAGTTTGATGTAGAATTCAAATAGCTCTATACTTATCACCCTGCACAAAACCCATATCCAAATGAATCTAAGGCCTTAACATAAAACCAGATATACTGAAACTGATAAAAGAGAAGGTGGAGAATAGCCTTCAACTCATTGGTGCAGGAAAAGAATTTCTGAACAAAACACCATTAGCACAGGCATTATGATGAACTATTAATTAAATGGGACCTCATGAAACTGAAAAGTTTCTGCTTGGCAAAGGACACCATCATTTGAACAAAAGTGTCAGCCTACAGAATGGGATTTATTTTTATAACCAGATGCACATTGATAGAGGGCTAATATCCAAAATATATAAAGAACTAAAAAAAAACAACACCTGGATATCAAGAAAAAAATAACCCAATTAAAAATAGGGTACAGATCTAAACAGAATTCTCAAGAGGAAACCCAAGTAGCTGAGAAGCACTTAAAGAAATGTTCAACCTTCCTACCCATCAGGGAAATGCAAATCAAAACTACTTTGAGATTTCATCTTACACCAGTGAGAATGGTCAAGATCAATAAGACAAATGACAGCTCATGCTGGGGAGGATGTGGAGTAAGGGACCATTCATCCTTTGCTGGTGGGAGTGCAAACTTGTGCATTCACAATGGAAATCAGTGTTGTGGTTCCTTAGGAAGATGAGAATCAATCTACCTCAAGATACAGCCGTACCACTCTTGGGCATATACCCAAAGGATGCTTCATCCCACCACAGCGATGTTCATTGCTGCTCTATTGATAATTGTCAGAAATTGGAAACAACCTAGATGTGTGTCAGTGTGTGAATGTATAAAGAAAATGTGGTCACTCGTGCAATGGAAGATTACTCCTCTGTTAAAACAACAACAAAAAAATGAAATCATGAAATTTGAAGTAAACAGGTGGAACTAGAAAAAAAATCATTCTGAGTAAGTTAACACAGAACCAGAAAGATGAAAATGGTATGTATTTACTTATACGTGGATGTTAGCTATTAAGTCAAAGATAAGCAAACTGCAATCTGTACAACTACAGAGTGGGGAGACATAGCTCCCCGAGAAGGGGGATAGAGTAGAGTAGAGTAGAGTTGAGTCGAGTCGAGTCGAGTAGACTAGAACAGATAGGTATGAATGACTGGGTCATGGTGACTGGAATGGGAGCATCAAACAGAGAGGGGGTGGAAAGAGGAGGATGAAGGAGGGAATACAGATAGGGACAGCTAACATTAAGGACCCCTTGAAGGGTTGTATGAAAAATCTAATACAGTGGCAGCTTCCTAAAGTATATACATAGAAGAAGGCAATCTAAATGAAATTGCCAAATAGTAAGAGACACAGAGCCCTAACTGGACATTTCTTACCACCAAATGAAGCTTCAGTACCAGGAAAGGTTATATCTAATCTAGTTGTTGGTCAAAGGGATCACATGGGAACCCCCAAACAACACAGGTTGTTGCACAGGTTATAGATTGCTCGCCAAAAACATCAAGACCCTATGGCAGAAAAATAACACCTACACAACTCACTGAACATGGAGAAGTTGAGCTGATGTCTACCTAGAGCCTTCACCCCCTGTGGCTTACTTTCTATGGTACTGGAAGCCACTCTGCATGCTACCAAGGGAGAAACATAAACACCAGCCCAGAGACCCTTCAATCTCGTATGGTGTACTGCCTGCAAGATATGCTGGGGCAATGATGGCATACAGCTAGTGGAAGTAAACAAGCGATATTTGATTTAATTCAAGACCACTCCATGAAATGGAGCCCACACCTGACGCTGCTTGGGTAGTCAAGAACCTGAGACTAGACAGCCCAAGGACCTAGGGTAAACTCATATGCTGCTGTTTTACAAGAGGAGTGTAGCAACACAGTTTGCTGCTAGTGACATTATTTTGTGCCTTGCTCAGCCAACATCAGAGAAGCTTCCTCCTGCATTGGATGGGAAAAAAATACAGAGACCCATGGATAGACACTGTTCAGGGTGTGAAAGATCTTGGAATACTCAATCCTAAACAGGATGTCTCCGTCAAATCCCTTCCCTCAGGACTCAGGGACCCCTGCAGAAAAGGTGGAAACAGTATGAGTCAGAGCAGATGGAAGACACCAAGGAATCAAGGCCTTCTAAACATATCAGGACCAATGCACACAGGACCTCACAGAGACTGAGATGCCCTGGGCCTACCTGGGTCTGCACCAGTTGGTGTCCCAGCACTGAAAGGAGAAGTGGTCACACTCCCCCGTCCCTAACTCAGAGGCTCTCTCCAATTGATAACCACTTGCAAATAAATATTTAGTTTTCTCCAAGGGAGTCAAACTGGGGAAACAAATTTTTGATTTTATTGCTGTTTTTTGAGACATGGTTTCTCTGTGTAGCTTTGGAACCTGTCCTGGAACTCACTGTGTAGACCAGGCTGGCTTCGAACTCACAGAGATCCGCCTGCCTCTACCTCCTGAGTGCTGGGATTAAAGGAGTGCACCATTAACGCCCGGCTTAACAAACTACTCTTAAGGGTAGGTCCCATGCCCAGCAGTAGATGGCCAACTCAAAAAGAACTCAATGGCATCTTTGAAGGTTCCTTGACTCATAATGTCATGTCAGGGCTTGCTTTCTTTACTTTTTCTTCTTTTATTTTATTTATTTTTCCCCAACAGGTTTCGCATATATATATTATGGCTTCCAATTTTGTATTTTTATGGTCTACTGGCCTGACACATGCTAGAGTCACAGAGGAAGGAGTCTCAGCTGAGGAAATGCCTCCATGAGATCCAGCTGTAAGGCATTTTCTCATTTAGTGATCAATGGGGAAGGGCCCAGCTCATGGTGGGTGGTGTCATTCCTGGGCTGATGATCCTAGCTTCTATAAAGAGGCAGGCTGGGCAAGCCAGGGGAAGCAAGCCAGTGTTCAACACCCCTCCATGGCCTCTTTGCCAGCTTGTGCCTCCAGGATCCTGCCATGTTTGAGTTCCTGTCCTGACTTCCTTCAGTGATGAACAGCAATGCTGAAGTACAAGCCAAATAGACCCTTTCCTCCCCAACTTGCCTTTTGGTAATGGTGTTCTGTCGTAGCAATAGAAACCCTAACTAAATTATATGGGATTCCTGAGTGTGCAAATGAATGTGTCTCTATGTTTATATGGTTCTTGTGCCCTTGATTTGGGCTCTTTTCCTTCTGTTTGCTTTGTCCTATTTTTATTTGTTTTTGTTTGATATATTATTATCCTTTAGATGCATGTTTCCTTCCTTCCTTCCTTCCTTCCTTCCTTCCTTCCTTCCTTTCTTTCTCTCTCCCTCCCTCTCTCTCTCTCTCTCTCTCTCTCTCTCTCTCTCTCTCTCTCTCTCTCTCTCTCTCTCTTTCTTTCTTTCTTTCTTTCTTTCTTTCTTTCTTTCTTTCTTTCTTTCTGTCTTTCCTGTTTGTTTGAGACACGGTTTCTTTATGTAGCCCTGGCTATTCTGGAACTAGATTTTGTAGATCAGGCTGAAACTCACAGAGATCCTCCTGCCTCTGCCTCCTGAGGGCTGGGATTAAAGATGTGGACCACCACCACCTGTCTACCCGTTTTCTTTTCTTTCTTTTTTATTTAGCTTACTTACAGATCATGCGTGAGGGGTTAACTACCAAAATCAGGGGGACCCCAAAGCAGCTGTAGAGCCCAACAGTCTCACATCCACAGGGATGATGCATTCTTCACAGCTGCATAGACAGAGTTGACACTGCAATTCACCTTCTGCCCTCTATTTTTCATTACCTCCTGAGATCATGTGCAGCTTCCACAGAATTACATGCAGCTGGGAGGAAAGGGGTGTGGTGGTGGTGGGGGCGGGGGTGGGGAAGAGTGGGTAGAAGTACAGGAAGTGGTCTAATAACATTCCTACCCCGTTCTTCTGCAAGAGAAGGCCAGCAGGCCCTGTCCTGGGGTACCTTCCAGGTAGCCACACCTGCTCCAATGAGGATAGACACACCTGCTCTGATGGGGATAAACACACCTGCTCCGATGAGGATAGTAATGAGGTTATTGTCTGTGGAATATTCCACACACTGGGCCATCCGTTTTCTAACGAGAGTCAGAAAGGGGGTGGATCTGGATGAGAGGGGAGGCAGAGAGGAACTGGGTGGAATAGAGGGAGAGGAAACTGTAATCAGAATATATTATATGAAAAAAATCTATTTTCAAAAGACGAAAAACAACAGCCATGAAAAGAAAATGCTCTGCCTGGGTGTCTGTGTCCTGAATGTCATTACTGTGCAAAATGGCTATTAAACACCAGACACAGTGCTTGCCTGTTTTCCACGGATATGTCACTTATTGGAATTGCTGCAAAGAAGTTCAACTTTTGGAGGTAGAATTGACTTAGGATGGGTCACTTTCCCTTCCCTCTCCTGCCCCACCCGTTCCCTCCTCCTCTATTTGGGTCCTTTCCCCAAATGTCAGTCTTACAGTAGCCTGCCCAACAAGACTTTCTAAGGTGATGGAGATGTCCCACATCTGCACAGTATTGTGTGGCAGCCATTAGCCATATGTGGCCTTCGAGAACCTGAAATGTGGACCAGTGTGACTGAGGAATTTATTTTATTTAAATTAGGGTTTACTTATTTAAATTAATTAGGTATAAATAGCCAAACATCGCTGGTGGCTATAGTCAGATTCAGAGCCTCTTGCCTGGGTGACCGCTGACCTTGAGTTAAGATTGCTGGGGCAGCTGGCCACATCTGTGCTTTTCATGGCCTCCTCCCCTGGCCTCAGAGGTGTGAGTGAGATTGAGGAGGAGGAGGAGTCAGCTTTGTCTTCATGCTTGTAAGTTCAGTCTCTTCCTTTTCATACGCTCATACATGTTTTTGTTAGGATAGCTCCCCTCCTCCTTCTAAACAAAAAGTGTGTGTGTGTGTGTGTGTGTGTGTGATGTTGCCCCTTTCTCCTCTAAAACTGAGAAGGTCCATTTTTGTGTTGTGCCATCTTCTGTATTGCACAGGACTTAGCTGTTGTCTCAAAGCCTGGCTCCTGCGGATGAAGCAAGGTATGTAGATAAAAAATAAAACGATTAGGGAAATTATACAAACAGATGAGGAAGGAGAAAAGGTGCATTGTCTTGCTTTAGACTGGCATAGCAAGGTATGTAGAAAACAATTAGAGAAATTTACAAACAGATGGGGATGGAGAAAAGGTGCATTGTCTTGCTTTAGACTGGCATAGCAAGGTATGTAGAAAACAATTAGAGAAATTTACAAACAGATGGGGATGGAGAAAAGGTGCATTGTCTTGCTTTAGACTGGCATGAGAGCTTTACCCTTGCACACAGAGCTGGGAATATGAAAAGCAGAGCTAGCAGCAAGGGTGACTTTTCTCACGGAGCCTGTAAAGAAAGCCCTCTCAGAGTGTGCTGCTTTTGGACTCCAGAGCAGAGTGCCAGTCATTTCCATGGCAGCACAGGAACTCATTTCATCACTTTTTTCTTTTCCAGGAATGACCACAGAACAGCTGTCCCCCTTTGCCTACACACCGTCCAGCCTCAACTGGCTTCTTGCCATTGCCACAGGGTGTTGGGGGAGGGGATGGCTCCCTATGCCTCCTGGGTAAATCTATAGCATTTCAGGAACTGCATGTTTTGGGGGAGGGGACAGTGGTAATTACCAGCACATGATTATTTTATTTTGCTTGAATTATTTATGATGGGAGGAAGCAGCTTGGAAAGAAGGGATCTGAGGGAGTAAGTTCAATCCCACTTGCATTGATCCCACCTAGAGGAAGAAGAGCAAACCTATTAAGAAGAAAAATCACTTCCCCCTCTTTCTATCTTTCCTCCCCCACCCCAGGTCTTAGAAACAAACAAACAAACAAATAAATAAGCAAAGAAAAGCTGTGGGTGGCTTCGTGGGAGTGGGGGTCTGGCCTGTGTTGGGGTGTGCTCCTAGAGCATGTGTGAGCTGGGCTTCCTTTCTCTCTGGGCCCATGCTGGTGTGTAATAAACAATATTCACATATTTAAAGCCCAACTAGGCAATGTCTTACTACCAGTCCTGTAGTCTTCATCACTGGGTCCTAATCCCTGAGGTACCAGCCCCTCATGTGTTCTCAGTTTCAGGTGGAGGGCTCTCTGAGCTGTGGAAGAACTTGTGGGTGGTTTTTGGGGACACCAAGGCAGGACATGAAGGACCCTGGAAGGTAAAGCAGAGGAGAAGCTGCCTGGAGGAATCAGGGTGTGTCCCTGGTCTCAGGCACCAGAGTGAATAACAGCAGGGAACACAAGCCCTCCTTCTGCTCTCCAGCTGGCAGGCAGGGAAGGCTCCAGAGGAGAGGCCATACCATTTTGATAAGACATAGCACCCTTATATTTAGAAAAGCACACAAAAGTGGCTGTAGAGGCAGAGCACTACTTGGCCTGACTACTGTACATTGCGGAAGAGAAGTACCTGTGGGATACAGTCCTAGCAGGTGGCATGAGATGCCTGGTTGGGAAGGGCCACTAGAGATAAATGGGATTCAATTTTACCCAAGGGAGGGGCTTCCTAGCCTTTTCTTTAGTGAACAGTTTTGAATGCTATGTTATGACATATGTGAGTTGTGAAACTTTGCAATAAAATGTTTAAGCACTCACATGTCCATAGTAAGAAGTGTATCATTACTGTTCTGAGACTCCAGTAATCATTCCAAGGTATAGGTGATCATGCTTTTCTGTGTATCTTTCTTTTGCTGTTGTTTTTATTTAGTTAGTTTTTGGAGTCAAGATTCTACTATGTAGCCCAGGTTGGCCTGGATTGGCCTCTCATTCATTCCCTCCCAACACACATGCCTTGAGATGTACATGTAGTCCAGGTTGGCCTTGACCTTGCTATAGTCAAGGATGACTTTGAACTCCTGATCCTCCTGCCTCCACCTCCCAAGTGTTGGGATTATAGGTGTTTATAGAAGCCTATAGAAAAGAAGGAACTTGCCAAGATATTGGCTGATAAATGTAGATCCTGGAGTCTGAACTATTGCTATAAACCTCAGGCCTAAATGAGCCAGTAATAAGGACAGCCATGGGTGACAGGCTATCCTGCCAGCCGAGGGTGGAACTTCCCCATCCCACTCCGTATCAAGCACATAGCTCGTCATGTCTCACCACAACTTTCACTGAGAATTTTATGTTACTTAGAAAGTTTGTCATTTTCAGAAACAAGGTATAAGCATGGAATTTGGATAATTTCTTTAGTTAAGTAAAGAAAACAGTGTGAGAAGGAGTGCTTGAATCAAGGCAGGCTGAATCTGAACTTAACATAACCTGTGAAATCAATGCTGCTATTGGTATTTTACAGGACTGGAAGAGAAATCATTATTCCTTGAGACAGCTGCTGTGGTTTTCCTGGCAATAGGGAAGCAAGCATGTCAACTATCTAAAGGGTTGTTGAAAACTACTAAATATGACATAATAGCACTGTCATGACATGCCAACATTACTAGTGTTTTTATAAAAGCATCAGCAGAAGTGAAGAATCAGATATGCACTCACTTTGTGATCAATAATATATTTTTTAGGTTCAAATTATATTGATCAATCACAAAGCATTTCTGATCTTCAATTTCTCTTTCTTTTGTTTGGGTAGACATACATTTAACCAGGATGGAAAATTGGTTATTAGTTAAAATTGAATAAATTGGGTCTTTCTTTATGGCTTGTCTTTATAAGTAAACATATTGTCAGAGACGGTTAATAGCAATATTCTCCAGATACATGTTCATTTGTATAAAAGAGCACTGTTCATATGAAAGCCAATATGAGGGTCAAACCTGCCAGTTCTTTCAAAGTCAACGTTGACAAACTTAATGCTGAAGTGCATATTTTTTAATGTCAAAAGAAAAGTCTTTAAAGATTTGACTTATGGAGTAAATTCCAAAATGGGGAGCAACACTTGTTCTGTAATAAATGTAAATCATAACCCAGACATTCACCTTCTGCTGAATCTGGTTCTCTCCAGAAGCAAGGAGGGGAAAAGAGGCTATTGGAAGTAAGTGATGTAGTTGAAACTTCCACAGGATGAGAGTACCTGCCCGGCTACTGAAGACATAGAAGGGGCCAGAAGAGGGCATTAGATCCCTCTGAAACTGTAGTTATAGATGGTTCTGGGATGCCCTGGGATGCTGGAAGCCACACCTTGGTCCTCTGAAAGAGCAGCCAGTGCTCTTAACTGCTGGGTCACCTCCCTAGCCTTTTGCTCTTTAAAAATTGTGTGTGGTGTGTGTGGTGTGTGTGTGTGAATTCGAGTGTGTGTGAATGAGTGTGTGTATGTACACATGTGTGCATATACATGAAACATCATGCATGTAGAGGCCAGAGGACAATTTTGTGGTTGGTTCTCTCTCTTCACCTTTATATGGGTTCCGGGGACCAACTCAGGTCACCAGTTTGACAAAGCAAGTGCTTTTGCCTGCTGAATCATCTCTCCAGCCTGAAAGACGGTAAAGAAAGTGAATGGCAGAAGCCAAACCTGGTTACCTAAAAATATGCCAGCATCACATTGCCTTCACCTGGTTTTGGTGAGTTAATAAGTTCAATAACAACTTAAAATTTCCTTTGCGTAGAATATGTATTCCGCTGTTTGCTCCCCTCATTTTGGCACGGTGGGGAGGCTGTGAAGGGCTCTTGCACATATTGGGCAGGGGCTCTACCACAGAGCCATAAAAACAGGGTTAACTTTCCCTTTATCAAGTGCTTAAGTATGTGCATGCCATTTACATCCTTCTAGAAATATTATATGTAGCATATATCTATATTTATGTACACATGACTGTTACATGCCTAATTTTTAAATCATTGAAGAATGGATTCTAAAGATTGCATCAGACCTCATTATAGATGGTTGTGAGCCACCATGAGGTTTCTGGGAATTGAACTCAGGGCCTCCAGAAGAACACTCAATACTTTTAACCTCTGAGCCATCCCTCTAACCCCTGACTGAATACCCTCTATCTTAGGAAAGGGTAGAGAAGGGTGAATGGGGATCTCATTTTAAAAAAGATTTATTTATTTTTAGGTGTATGAGTGTTGCCTGCATATATGTGTGTGCACCATGTGTGTGCAGTACCTACAAAGGCCAGAAGAGCATCCATCTCCCCTGGAACAGGAGTTTTGCATAGTTGTGGGCCACCATGTGGGTGCTGGGAAGGGAACCTTGGTCCTTAGCAAGAACAGTAAGTGCTCTAACCACTGAGCAATAGCATCACTCCCAAGGCACTAGTCGCTTAATGGGGCTTTTTTTGTGTGTGGGGGGGTATCTTCTCCCCTACAAATTAGTGATAGAAAAAGAGCCTACTTGTTAGCCTGTAGGACAAAGATTAACCAAGCCCATGCCTTGCACCTACAGGTAAGCACTAAGGGCTTTTGCACACAGCAGTGGCTTTCAGACACCCTGTGAAGTTCTAGGCTTTTCAGGGAGCTTTTAGGAAAGCTGCCTGGGGGCGTGTGTGTGTGTGTGTGTGTGTGTGTGTGTGTGTGTGTGTGTGTGTGTGTGTGTGTGTGTGTGTGTGTCTAGTCCTCTCTCCCATCTTCATTCAGGGTCATCCTGAGCTCAAGTGGTGAAACTGTTCTCAGTTGTTTTGTACACAGGGATTCCTCGTAAGATTTATCTACATAAAAGGTTGAAACACATTTGAAAAGCAGCAGTGAAAAAGTGTATATTGTTCTCAGAACTTCTTGTTTTCCATGCTCTCCATGCTGTCCTTTCTGCTTTGCTTTCCCTGCCATTCTGTAAAACTTGTGGTGCCTTTAAAATATGGGATCTATTTGCCAACCTCCTTAGCCATATGTTAGTGAATGTGCGTGAATGCACACATGTGTGTGATATATATATATTTATATATATTGCCTGTGTGTAGTAGTTTGAATGAGATGACCCCTGTAGGCTCAAATATTTGAGGTTTCAAAAGCCCAAGCCATTCTCAGTTATCTCTCTTTTTTTTTCTCTCTCTCTCTCCCTCTCCCTCCCTCCCCGTCCTCTCTCTCTGTCTCATGGTTGTGTCTCAAGTTGTGAGCTCTCAGCTAGTGTTCCAGCAGCTGCCATGCTTCCTGCCACGGTGGCCATGGACTCAAACCCTCTGGACCTGTGAGTCCAATTGCCTTGGTCATGATGCCTTATCACAGCAATAAAAAAGTAGCTAAAATGCTGTAGAAGCCAGAGGTTGATGCTGGTGTTTTCCTCAATTATTCTCAACCTTATGTTTTGAGACAAGGTCTGTCACCAAACCTGGAACCCACCAGCTTGCCTAGGCTGGCTGGGATCCACCTGCTTCACTTCCCCAGCACTGGGATTATAGACAATGTGCCTGGCTTTTACATGGGTGCTGAGGCTCTGAACTCAGGTCCTCATGTTTGTGTGACAAGCACTTGTGGACTGACCTCTCCCCCAGCCCTGCTATTGCCATCCTATCAAGTGTAGGTAGTTCCTAGTAACATTTTTGTGTGTTTGTTTTCGCAATGGAGATTGGACCCAGAGTTTTGTGCATGCTAGGCAAGCACTCTGCCATTGAGCTACACCATAACCTGTGATTTTATTTTATTTTTTGTTTTTTTTTTTTGAGATAGGGTCTCACCAAGTAGCCCTGGGTGGCTTTAAGTCTCTGGGAAACACAGGCAGGCCTTGAACTTGTGGCCCTCCTGCTTCATCATCCAGGGCACCTGAGATTATAGGCTTGCGATGTCAGGCCCAGCTCCTAGCAAGTTTTAATGAGTAGACCAAGCAGGAAGTGATAGAATAGTATCTACCACATGGAAAATGTTGGTGTTCTCTCCCCCGGCTTGCTCTGTCCTGTATCTTTGTTCTGGAGAAAGCTGGCTGAGCTTCCATGAGCCTGCTCAACAGAGCCTGACCCACAGAGACTTCGAGGGAAGAGTGTATTGATTTTACGTGTGATTTGGAGTAACTTGTTGCACAGACGAATGTGACTTATGTAAATGACCCTGTGCTGGAAAGGCTCCTTCCATGACAGACAACCTCCTGAAGCCCCAAGTGAGGACCAAGGTGTTTCCCTTCAATACACAGCTTGTTCTCAGAGTTTATTCCATCGCATCAACTATTTGCACATCTGCCTATTTCACTAGACCATGAAATGTTTGTATTCCAAGATGCCTAGTAAAGCTTTGGGTATCTTACATATTGGATAAAAGAAGGAGTAAAGACACCCAAGGATAATTTAGATAAAGGGTGAAAAGCATTTGTCTTCATCTTGGCTACTCCTATTAGTTACTTTTCTGTTTCAGGCTGAATACCTGACAGATGCAACTCAAGGGAGGAGGGACTTGTTTTGGGTCACAGTCGCAGGGAGGAAGGCGTGGTAGCCAGTGGCTCCAAGGCTGCCGTGGCATCAGCAGCTGCTTGTTCCATGACGCCAACCAGAAGCAGAAAGCTGGAGCCAGAACTGGACTGAAACCCATAAGGGCCTCCCCACCCATGCAAGCCGGCCCTGCTCAGACACCCACTTCTTCCAGGCCCCGTCTCCAGTCCCAAAGGATTTACAACCTCTCAAAGCAGTGTCACCATCTGGGCACCAAGTGTTCAAATGCTTGTGGGGCACATCCCAAGTTCAAACTGTAGCAATAATCTTCAGCTTTGATTGGAGATGATTAGTAAGCAGAAAGCCCTCAAATGAAGTGAGTGTGGGCTTTCTTTTCCCTGTGTCAGCATAGAAAGTAGTTGTCTGACTCTTTTTTAATACATGATGGGCATTCTTTTTATTTGAAATGATTTATTTATTTTTATTTTATGTGTATTGGTGTGCCTATGTACTTGCCTGTATGAGGGTGTCAGAAGCCCTGGAACTGGAGTTATGGACAGTTGTGAGCTGTCCTGTGAGTGCTGGGAATTGAACCTGGACCCTCTGGAGGACAGCCAGTGCTCCTAACCTCTGAGCCGTCTCTCTACCCCCATGATAGGTGTTCTTACTCAGAAGATGTCCTGGAATGGCAGATCAGTATCAAGTCTGACACTACCCAAACAAACCTGGAAATATGGCTTTGACCAAGTATACATTGAAGACACATAATAAATCAAGCTGTGGAGAGTGATCAGCTTTTCAGAAGCTGAGCAACATATTCATCTCAGGATGGTGGAGGCAACATCCATTTCATTCCATGTGGGTCTGTGTGAAGTGAGAACCTGTTGCCCAAGGCTGACTTTAAAGGTCCTCGAGCGCCATGTGTACATGGAATTACAGGGATGGTGGTGGTGAACTGTGCCTTTATTTTGCTGTTCATCTATTTCTAGAATATTTCTGGTGATTAGACTAACAGCCTAGAACTCTGTTATTTCAGGTTCTGTGCTTATGATGCCATATAGCTCCCCTGGCTCCCCTAGGACCCCCTGAGTGACAGGGCTTAATTCTAGTCCACTGTATCTATTGTCAGGACCCACAAGTTCTCATAGCTGGTGTGATAGAGACAATAAATGCTTCCTTGGAGGAACAGATTTTTTCACCCAGATAGTCAAGGGAAAGCTTTATGAAGCAAGGACAGACCCTGCATGTTTCCTCTTTCCTCTTTAGTGAGTGACATTCAATGTCCACTTAGCTCTCTGCTTGATAAAACACCCTTTCCAGAGGCCATTCATTTCTCCCTGGTTATTCTTTGGAAGCCTCCAGGTGTTCGCTTTATTTAATTATAACGGTGGCCCAGAGAGAAGATGGAGCGTCAACATTGCGTGGAGGGAAACACGGGGAGAGGGGAGGATGGGAGGATGGGTTCACGTGAGCAATAGGAAACAGGAAATAGCCCTGTTCAGCATGGCATCGCAGAGGGTTCAAGGCCAGTAAAGGCCCACTGTGGAGGCCGGGCATGTTTCTTGTCCTGTGTTTATTCCTCTCCCACCCAAGGAAGGAGGAGGTCCTGCAGTTTTGGGTTGGTGTGGTTTTTTTACATGGTGGGCTTGACTCTGACAATACCAAAAGTAACACGATACATATCCATGACTGTTCTGTTGAATAACCATTTCCACACACCTATAGCCAGATAGGGAATTCTAAATTCATATATTATCTTTGTTTCTTGTAGAAAACATGTTTTTAGTATGTGCTTGACCTTACTCAAGGGTGGGTCTATACAGTCTTGTTTAAACTACATGACCTTGGAGCTGGAGAGATGAGTCAGCAGTTAAGAGCACTGACGACTCTTCCAGAGGACCTGGGTTTGATTCCCGGCATCACATGGTGGCTAACGACCGCCAGTAACTCCAGTTCCAGGGATGGATCCAGCTCTCTCTTCTGATCTCTGCAGGTACTGCACAAATGGTGCATATAAATATACATGCAGGCAAACACCCAAACAGATAAAATAAAAAAATAAATCTCAAAAAACATCCCTTTCAAACACCACAAAAAAAAAAAACAGAACAAAAACTATGCAACCCGGCTCATATCTCCTTACTTACAACCAAACTCATTAAATTAGATCGAATAGTTGACCTTGCTGTGAGGGCTAAGCTGACTCAACTCCCTCCTAGGGGACATTGGAATCTGTACATTGAGAAACCGAGCAAGACGAGGCTGGGCAGAACCAAAAAAGTGTGTGCAAGGTTGAATGTGTCGGAAGTGGAGGGAGCTGCTCAGGAGAGAGAGAGAGAGAGAGAGAGAGAGAGAGAGAGAGAGAGAGAGAGAGAGAGAGAGAGAGAGAGAGAGAGAGAGAGAGAGAGAATTAGAGAAGGCGTGTGTGGCAAACCAAGTCATGCATGCTGAGAGGAGCCCTGGGCTCTGGTGCTTCAGATCCAGGTCTGGTTCCTGTATGGCTACATACATTTGTTTCCTGTCAACACTCCAGAGCCACACGCTGTATCCTTACAACAGAGTCCTTTCCACCTGCGCTAATTCGGGTAGGCTGTGATTTCCTGTATACACACAGAATCTTGGAGTATAGCTGAGTTTTCAAATGAAGTGAAAGTTGTCCTGTCAGTTCATCAGTTAGTGGCTAAAGCAGCCGGCCCAGTGAGGTGCCAGGCGGACCTCGATGGCTTTGGTTGATAAGTCAGACTCGAGGAAACAAGTAGACAAACTGTGCCTCTTGATGTGATCGAAGGTGGGCCACACACAGGCTTCAGACTTTGGTCTATGCCGATCATGGCTGAGACTTTTTTACAAAAATGTGAGATGAGTCAGCACAATGATCGTATATGCACATGTGTATGTATATAAACACACTCATCACTCCTCATTCTTGGCACAGTCGCGTAGCTGAGGTCATCGGCATTCTTTTAGTTGTCTGCTGAGATTTAAAGGTCTCTTCATACTATCTGTAGGATTTAGTCAGGATCAGGTAATGTGAATGCATGCAGTGAAGAATCTCAGAGTTTACCAGGTGCAGACACTGTCAGTAACCGGGAGTCCCTTTCTACACAACTTGTAATTGAAAATATTTACGTTTTAGTTTCCCCTGCTGTTTTTCTAATTCTACCCAACAAATCTCTAGTAAAACAGTGCCTTTTCTTGGTCTACCAAAAGTTATGCTTTAGTGGGAATGCATATAGGAAAGCATTAATCCTAGCACATTGATGATTTGAATTTTTTGCAATAATTTGATTTTTAAGGTTATTGAAATTGCAGGAAGGATTTCCATCCTGAAGAGTGATAAATATGAAGTAGCAATGAGAAATATTAAGTCAGTTTCCTTGGGATGCTCACCCATGCAGCTGAACTATCAGGGACTCAAACAATGGGGCTGGGGACCCCCACTCTTTCACTGTCTTCTTGAAGCAGCTTTGTTCTTTGCTCATCCATCCTCCCTGGGAAGTCTGCTCTTCAGGTGCAGGGGATAATGGCAGCACAATGAAAATTTTCTCATCCTCTCACCTGCTAGAATTCTTTGGGTATAGATAATTTCCAAGGAATAACCAAACACCACCACAAAATGGTATTGATATTATGGGATTGCATCAATAGCATTGGCTGTTTCATTTCCATCCACTTATCAGACATATTTACTTCTCAGATATTTCCTTAACCGGAATTGACTGTACTATAATTGCCTATTTCTTTGGTCCATTGGCTGTTAACCTTGAAGTGACTGGGGTAGAGCTGGCGAGGCCTTCCCTGTCAGGCCTGACCTCTCACTATGCTGGAGAGTGTGCTGCCATGACAACGGCGACAGATGTCAGCTAAGCAATGTGCACCCTAGAAAGACTCCTGTATTGAGAAAATCGATCTTGTAATGGTGCCACGGAGCACATTCGCGGAACTGCCAAGTGTTCTAGGCTTAATCATTTATTTCATCTAGCAGAGAGAAGAAAACATAAAAGAAATGAAATGAATTTGACCTCTGTCTTTTGAGTGACTTTAGTGCTACGCTGAATTCTAGCAAGTGCCTCTTATGAATTTTAAAAAATTACATTAGGAATAACATTTTGAAGTGAAATGACTCTTGTAATGCCAACCCTCCAGAAACATGTTATTTCAAATGTCAGATACATAATAGTCATTTGCTATTTTCTGTATATGTCCAGGGGTTAGTTCCATCTTGGGTATGTTTCAGGCAAATTATTACAAAGGAACCAGGAACGAAGCAGATCAGAGTATCTCGCGTTTTCTGCTTTTTTGTCTCGGCACCAGACCGCCTCTTTTGTGCTGGTCATACCCGGGTTTACTGAGTGGCATGAAGAACCTTGCATATCGACAGCCTTCAGGTCCTTCTCAATTTCTCAGTCTTCCAATGGAATTCGTGTTCTTGTCTGTCTCCAGAGTGAAGTTTGTCTCCCTGACAGTTAATCTGGAGACAGCCTTCCATCGCCTTGATAGGCTTGTCACTCATTCCTTGACACCTCTCATTCATCTGAATCTGGCCTGCTGGATATGCAAATGATCAGAGGGCTGAGGACCATCATCCCTCAAGTGTGATGGCCAGTATGTCAATGTCACTGTGCTGGGAACAAACCACTCTGTCAGTATCCAGGAAGAGGTAGAAGCAACACAACCCAGGGACCCAGCGTACTTATGACCTTTCCTTGGCTGGGGTCACAACCAGATTTCTTTAAAAGCAAACAGCCCAAACCTAAAGCAACCCCCACAGCTTGGAGGCTGCAGACAAATCTCTCTGATAACCTTGCCCATATAAATAAATATCATTGAGAGTGATTATGGCGAGAGAGATCTCAGAAGATTTTCAATGTGATATGTCTGTCTCTTGTGCTGGGGGATATTTTATTGCATTTTTGCCCTCAAGTGGAGCTGACGGGAGCCAAGCTTGTAATTTAAATCAATAAGAACCCTTTACCATGGCCATAAAATACTTGGCTAAACCTTTGAAGTGGCCACAGTTGAATGCACAGTGAACACAGTATAAATGTGCCTTAAGATGTATTGTATGGGACCACTACTAAAACAGCATTCAAAGGCACCGGCCTTAAGCATCTTTTGTGAATGATGGGAGAGGGTCTCAATTGCTTTTGATCATTTACATGCCCCGATCACATCACCATGCAAAGTCACTCCAAACAAGTCGACTTAATGGGCACATCAGGCAGCGAT